CCGCCTGGAGGGTTGCCGGGGCTGGGAGGGTCACCCTTCAATATTCTGCCCCAGCAACAAACCGCTGTGATAAACAAAAAAGAAAATGAAGGAAGATGCGCATAAACATTTAACCCTATACCAGTACATTCAAGATTAGTAGACAGAAACTCATGAAACTGTATTTGCTTACGAGATACTCCATATATGCATACATGCATACATTACCTAAGTATCAATGACAGGTGTAGGCATATGTATGTTGTGCTTATGCATAACACAACTTTGCATCTGTATCAATATGCATATTCGTGCAGACGGACAGGCTTGCACAACAAAGACTCATCATGGAGCTTCTGAGATTTTTTAGGACATATTAGACGGCCAATACCATCATATCAAAGAAAAGCCGCAAAATCGGAAAGTCGGAAGTAGTCAAAGAGCATGATGCATGGCAAAACCCAGCTTACGTACCGAAACACAACAACAACAACAACAACAACAAACTTGTGTATTGATCCACAAGACCAACAAACTTAATTTACAGGGGTATTGACCAGCAACACCGAACTGAACTCGGATGGTTATCGGCCCAGTCCAACATCAACAACAGCTGCAATTTGACTGGATATTGACCCGCGGCATTCACATGTTCAAATTGTTCATTTTGGATAGATAAGACTACAGATGGATTAGTATGCAGACAAATTGGTATGCATGAATCCAAGCTGCATGAGTGTGTGTATGTGAATATATGTAGATACCAGCACTGTCTTGTACCTGCTTCGTATATTATATCTAAACACCAGAATCTTAAACTGAGATTCAATATCTATCATGGGCGATTGTTTGGGAAGCCACCAACAAATATGTTGATATGCAGACTGCCAGACGGATGTTTAAACATGTGCGAAGTCATTTGTGCCTTGTGGTTCATAATGTTTTCAGGATCCAGCCATTATTTTCAGGGTTTGGGTGCGTAGGATAATGGGGTGGGAATTTCCGTGGTCCCTCAGTCCATATGTAAACGCGCAGTAACGGGCATACAGTGGAGACAACAGTGCGAAGAGCCACAAATAGCAGGCATCGCGGTAATACATGACAGCTTCGGGGTGCTGGGGTGTAATATAGAGGGCGGAATCACTTGCAAGATCGAAGTTGCGAAAATCAACTCCAAAACCGAATTCCAAATATCCGCCTAGCCCACGACACTGCGATGTTAAACATGGCCCGAATGATTATAAGCAAGCTACGTGAGAGCATGATCCAGCAGAATTTGCGGGATGAAGGTTTTGGTGCAGACGAGTCAAGTTGACTCGGCCCCGATTTCGCAGACCAGGAGTCATTAGAGTTGACATAAAGTGGAGGTGGGGCCTATTCTGAGTTCATTGCACTGTTTCTCTAGATATCGGGTACCAAGAGCCGCCACGACAAATTTAGGCCTATAGTGTTGTTAAAATATGAAAACGCACGAAAAGGTAGGTAGCGAGGGGATTCCATATATATATATATATACACACACACACATATATATATATATATGTATATATATATATGCAGGCATGTATGTATATGTATATGCATATGAAATGCTTTGCCTGTGTATGTGGTGTATATAATGCGTGTGTTGCAAGTGATTTGTAACGTATGTAATGTTTGTACTTCCGTACATACTTGCACGCAAGTATGTATGTACGCAAGTATGTAGGTATGGATGGATGGATGTATGTCAGAGTCCATTTTGTTGTTGTGGATTTGAACATTTGCAAATGCAGAGCAAAAGCAACTGCACTTAACACGTTTTGCTTTGCGCAAGACAAGTTGGGAGATATTCAATATGTGCGAAGATGCTCTGCAGGCGGAGTCCGCCCGGTGTGCCGGGGGCGCATGTCGCAAAAATCATGTTTCATGAAGCTACGCTTTTGAACTTTCCATCGCAGCTTCGTTGGGGTGGGGCGGCAACCCTTGATGTCCAACCTTGGCTGTGGAACTTAGAGTTTGTTGCTTGAGCCTCTTCGGCTCAGGAGGCAGAGATTGCGCAGATTGGCCAGAAGTTCTTCAAGCAGTACGGTCAGCATTTCGTCGTCCGATCTGGCAAGCACCGAATGAAGACTTTCGCGGCAGTCGTCAAGGACTACCGTGGCAAAGACACTATGCACTGCACACATGCACATGCCCGCAGTGTTTGTGGGCATGCATGCACATATATATATATATAGATGTTTATTCTTTATGTATATAATTCGTTTGTAAAATGTGTTTGTTTTTGTGTGTGTCAGTACCTGTTTTTGTTTGTGTCTGTTTGCGTGTGTACAAGCATGTGTGTGTGTGTGTGCAAACATGCACGTGTTCGTGCACGTGTTTGGTGGACAGAAGTTGTGCTAGCGTGTTTCTTTGTGTATGTTTGTGTATGTGCGTGTGCACGTGCCAGTTTTGGAATTTGAGAAGCGTGCAGGTGTGCTGTTCGTCTGGCTGTAGCTGCGTGTGTATGAGACGACCTGACACCAGATGTTGTTAAGTTGCTTCTTTTCCAGAAGCCTAGAGTCCTAGAGCAGCCGTCTTGAGCAGCCATAGTTGAAACAACTTCGTCGCTGACCAGGGAACCTGCTATCGACTATGTTGGGGAAGCAGACTTAGATGGCTTATGCGTTCATGTGTGTGTGTGTGTGTCTTTCGAGCCCTGCACAGCAATGTTATCCCGTCTTCGTTCTTGCCGGCACGGGAAGGATGGATGCTTCAGAGGCTCCATGTAATAATCCCCCAGTTCATGTCAATATCCATTAAAGTTGCAGAGGACGACCCGAAATTTGTGGAATGGGCCTTGCAGCGATCCACCTCCGACGCTGGCCGACCGGGCATGTCCTCATAGACTCGGAGAGCTCAACTTCAGCAGGCATCGTCTGATTTTTTCCGTGCCGCTCATCAGTCTGGCTAAAGAACCATGAAACATCAACAGCAATCACATGATTTACAGGATAGTCTGACTTTTAGATGTACCAGGTTGCTTGCGCCCAGACATGCGCGCATAAGGTAAGGTATGGGTTATTTATCATGCTCGATTTTTTGAACGCGTATCAGACTAGTGCCAGGTGCCAACGTCAACATCCGATTCTTTGCCGCATTCGCGAGCCAGCAGTCCAGCCAGGAGGGGAAGACTAGGTCTGCGAGTCATCTCTTCATGAAATTGCTGTTGCTATTTGTTTCAACCGTGGTGGCATCGTGCAACACGAGGGTCGGGGGGTTGGCCCGAAGCTGGAGCATGTGAATATTCTTGTTCGGCATGCTAAGCATGCTTCGATTGCATCGTAGAGGATTTCAAACGAAAGGGCACAGTGAAGCCGCGGTCTCGTCGCCTATATCCCCCTATATCTCCGAGCGAAAGCAGTAGGTCCTTCAACCTCAACCTGCAGGGTACTTCACGTCAACCTGGTCAGCCCGGGGTGGCTGTAGACAGACTTTTGGATCATACCGGCTTTTAGGATGTCCTATAACTGCCACGACTTGGACTTTGTAACGTTGCAGCGCTCCCTCTCTCTGGCTACAAAACCTGTGGCAGTCTTTGTCTTTCGCGCCTGAAAACCAGACATACCACTGCAATCAATGTTGCGGTCCAGTTACTGCTAGTTACTAGTTCCGGCCGAATGACAGTCCTTGCCGCCAGGAGACAGCCGATAGCTTCAAGGGCGAAGCCGTGACTTAGTTTATTTCTACAGGGAAGCCTCAAACTCTCAACAGATGTGTTAGCAGTTATCAGTTAACAGGTATGCTTGCAAGGGTCATCTGGCTGGACGTGGCTTTTTGAGCGGAGTGAAAAGCACGGAGGGTGCCAGTCATGGCGTTTTGAAGGAATCAGAAGGCGGTCTGAAGCCAGGGACATCTGCGATACATACCCGCCAAATCTACAGATAAGGTCTGGGAATTACTCCGACCGAGTCAGGTACGTCAGGTTCGAGCTCGCAAAACTGCTGGCAGCTCGGTGGCTTGATGCTGAAGGCTTCAACGTTTCGGCCGCTGGTTCGAGACGGGCCATCACTTGTCACTTGCATTCAACATTATCATCTGTTGTGTCTAGTATTAGTGTTGTTGGTGTTATCACGGGTCATATATTCTAACGTTATTTACAAGTGAACAGCTATTTTCTATGATAACTGGTTGCCCATCTTATTAATGTATGTATTTTATGACTCTTCTTTGAGCCGGCTAAATCTCTCGGGTGCAGTACAGCTGCAGGGCGAAGCCCATGCCTGCCTGTCCAGAAGCTGAACCCATGTGTAGCTCCAGCACCCTGAGATGTGACAGTGCCATTTGTACCAGTTCCTTTATTTGCTTGCTTCTGCCGTTCTTGGGTGGGGTGCGAGGTTGGTTCATGAGCTTCAAAAGCGCAGAACCCTGTTCCCTGTGCATGGTGGGGAAGTCATGTGCGGAGGCAGAATCGGGGAGCAAAATCGCAGACATGCCTGCGGGTGTAGAAGATTGGTAAGTCCGGCATCCAACTAAAAAGCAGGCGGGCGTATGAGTGGCGCATGAAGTTCCATTGTACTCAAGGCCCGCACACATCCCGTGCGTGGGTCCAGGAAGGCCGTCGATCCGGCAGCTTCTGGCTCAAGTGCCTCAGATGGAGAGCCTGTTTCTTGTGTTGGTCGCTGTTCAGACATGAGGACGGCACGGGCAGTTCAGGGAGTTCTAAGGTTTTGAGGAGACCTGGGAGTGGAGTCCAGAGCTTGGTCCTCGAGCTAGGACTCCTGTGGGTAAGCTTGGATGCCGCAGCGAAGGAGATCGTTGCTGAAGTCTTGCCTTCCGGCTTGGGGCCGTCAGTACCGTGCCCGGACGACGCCAAGGCAGCCAAGCTGTCTTTCCACGACTCAGCCCGTGGGTTTTCTGGAACATGTGGCAGCTTGCAGGCCTTTGGTTGGATTAGGTCCTTGTCCGTGTTTGCAGAACCCCGCTGAATAACTGCAGACTGTGGGACTGATGTTGCATTGTGCTCCTGCAGCCAGAATATGCCGCCGCTTGATTCCGTTCGGAGCTGAGGCAGGAGCTTTGTAGGCGCTTTGGTGCCACTGTGTCGGAGTCGTGCCTGCCAACTTCTGGCATGGAATGCATGTTCGGAAGCTGGGCCGCAGTCACTTGTATGCCGAACTTTCCGGGTAGATTTTGACCAACTGAAAATCTGAAAACCCTCAACATGGGTGGGGTAGCCCTGGTGTTGTGGGACCTGATACGTGGATCGCTGCCTTCCTGTGTATGACGTCTTAGGACGGAGGTACTACGGCCGACCTTTGCGCGAAATTGTTTCAGAAAATCCTGAATACTGTCGCTGGATGCTCCAAAAGGCTGAGGACGCCATGCTCCCAGGGCTTGAGCTGGGTGCGGTTTGCTTCTTGAGCTGAATTCAACTCCTAGACGACAGACATGCTTTGCTGCTGCTACAGAGAGTTGGCCAGCAGCAACTTTGCACCATGAGTTGTTTGAACCCTGCGTCGTCATGCACCAGCCCCCAGTCTCCCTCACTCTCCCTCTTTTGTTGTTGTTCTCGCTCTCTCGCTTTCTCTCTCTCTCTCTCTATCGTTCCTTCCTTTCTCTCTCTCACTCTCTCTCTCTCCCTCTCACCCTCTCTCACTCGCTATCACTCACTCACTCGCGCTCACGCTGGCTCTCTCTCTCACTCTCCACACTCACTTGCTCGCTCACTCATTTTCCTACGGAAAGGAGGATGGTGCCCCGTCCGGGCTGCTGGAGAACGCAGCATGGCTTACGCTGCATGCACCGCTGTTGAAGGCAGTCCTGCCAAAGCCAGCAAGAAATCATGCCTAACGGGTTCACTCTCATAGCTTCAGTGGGCACGACTGCAGCAGGGAGCTGGAGGGCTGCTCAGTGACGAGCAACCTGAAGCCTAGGTTCGAACTTCCGAATACAGTTGCTTAATTTCGGAAATATCTGATGGACACAGCTGCACATGCCTCCGGCCTCTGTTTCCTAACCGCTTGCACGCTTAATTACTCTAGTCGTATTGTCCCTGAAGCCGTCAAATTCGCTGCAATTGATACTGAACGGACGTTCAAGAGTGTAGCTGTGTTGACACCTGGGAGGTTCCTCGTGATCTTGTTCGAGGCCGCGTGTTTGGGGCGATCCCTGCTTGTTGCCAACGCAACCGCAGACGCGGGGTTTAAGTTTTACATGTTGAACATGCCAATGACTGTGTACGAAAGCACGGCTTGGCCCACACTCCTGCCCACAGGCTCAGCAGAGCATGTCTCCTTGCAATGTCCTGCCAAGTAACCACGAGCTCAGCTGCGGGTCATACGCTTTACGGGTGAGGAGGGAATTGCATATTAGTCAGTGGCAGGATGTCGTCATCATTAAGTACATGTAGAAGCATGTGGTTGCGACAATACCATGGGCAAACATGGTTTCCATAATCCCATATCAACACAGCCATCCTGTGTTCGTGTGTGCGCTTGTGGGCACTCGCTAGTTCGTATATCTGTGCATTGGAACACAGCATGTGGTCTCACCTCATTGGATTGATTGTTTGTTAGCTGTTCTGACAAAGTGGGATGCATAACTTGGAAGCATTTTGGCTGAGTTGCTGCGTATTATCTTCTTACCTGTCTCGAGGCGGAAAACATCGTGGACGCCTGCTATCTGAGCTGGTGCAAGAAGACCCATTCTACTGCAAATGGGTTCTCCGCGAGGCGAAGGCAGCGTGCAGTGGTAAGACAGCCACTGCCTGTCTCTGTTAGTCTTTAACTTATCAAATGAGACAACAGCTCTGAAGCTAGCATGGCAAAGTACGGCAGAGAAAGATGTCGTTTCTAATTACATCATGCCCAGCGGCATTTGAGACATCTATTGTATAGGTGAAGGATGCTTTGCCATCGGTACGAGAGAGCGCCTCCTGGCTGGAGCAGAACGCGCCGCACCTGAAGAACGCAGCTTGGCATAATTAGTTGGTTCGGTACGGGCGGTCTGCAATCTCCCAGCCGCAGTGAACCCTGGCTATCAAGTTTCTACAAGTTGTACACACACACATATACGCTTGAGTCATGACCTTTTTGGAAAAACGTCATCAAATCAATTCAATCGGCGCTACCGACTAGGTCACCTTGGAACGACATGCACGATGACTTTCGATATGCAACACGGGAGTCTATGTAGAGTCCTATGTCGCAAGCAAGAAACAATCGACCACCGTGTAACAGGCCGAGATGCGCGTCTGAACCATACTCTCCCACACAATTGTTTTCTAGCTGGCACATGCAGTCAGTAGCACCTGCAAGCCCTGAAAGGACCATCCTGTTCCGGGCTTCCTTTCAGGTTGGGCAGCTTGCGCTTTTTTGCACTTGTGCAGGAAAGGAAAATTGAGTTGATGAGCTAGTCTTCGGTGTCATCGTTTTGCACTTGCACGCTTTGCTCGCAGCGTCTGGCATCAGAGGCTGTGATTGACGGATTCAGGTTGTCAAAAGAAACGACAGGGCTTGTCAGCAGAACCGGGCATGGCGAGGCGGGAAGCACGGTGGACGAGCTCTTTCCGACTTGGTCACCGAAGACCCGGCCTACTGCCAATGGATTCTTCGAGCGGCAAAGGCCCCCGTTGCTTGCACAGGGCCATCGCTCCGAATTCACACTGCTGCTTTCGCAAATAAGGTGAGCTGTTTGCGTTTGTCACTTTCTATGCTGTGCTTTCGACCTCGGCACTTATATGCGCAATTTGCTTGGAGCAGTTTGTCGGTTTTGCGCTTTAGACTTACTGAGAGGCCGTGCAACCTTCAAAAGCAATTCGCGAAGCCGCAGATTGGCTCGTGCAGAACGCCCCGAACTTGAAGCAGGACTCGGGCAATCGCTATCCAGCTGAGTGCCTGTCGCGAATGCAGCGTGCTCGATTCACTGTGTAGGAGTGGGAGGGTTTTCCTCATGATGCAGCCTCGACAGGATCAAGCACTCCGGGTGCGAGGCTTGGAGACCTTCATGACAATGTTGTCCGGATAAAAAAATAGGTAAATAATTAAAGATAAATAAATAAATAGATAAATAAGTAAATAAAAAACATAAACATAAATATAAATATAAATATAAGTTAATAAGTAAGTATAATATACATATATGTCATTCTCTCGAAGTTGCCCGCGCTACTTGACCAATCGGGGTTGCAGCAGCGAGCCAGGTCGCAAGCATCACGGGCGCCTTGTATCCGAACTGGTCAGCGAAGATCCAGGATATTGCCAATGGCTTCTTCGAACAGCCGAGGAGACTTCTTGGTTAGGCCAGTTAGGGATAGTGTGCAGGCAGTGGCCAAAGGTATTTGTCATTGGATTGGCAAGGGCACCTGCGCATGAAGCAGGAAGGGAGAATGAGCTCCGTGCCTGACTATCTGTGCAGCCGTTTGGTTGTCATTGTTCGCACTCCGGAGAAAGGAAGATTGCATCAGAGCTCCAGACACTAATAATGCCCTATATAGGTCTAAGCCGTTGTCTCGACCTTCGCCGGGTCCCAAGGTGTTGCTATCTGAGCACTTCGCGTAAATGTCCACAGTAACTGTGATTTCAAGGTTCCGGCATTCATTTGGCTGGAGCAGGTAATCGGTATTCTAAGTCCGCAGGACCAAGATGCAGATCAGTGGATGACAGGACAAGCTGCTTGGCTTCTGGCGAATGCTCCGCACCTCAAGGATGACGGCAGCCACTCAAGTAGATTAGAAAAATGCTGAAACTCCGTTTCTTGTCAACCGCTTTAATGCCGGGGATCCCCACACATGTTAACTGTCAAAAAGCACCAACATGCAGGAGACGACTGTCGTGACGGTCAGATGCAGGCATCGGGGAATTCCGCTTCCCCAGGTGGTCGCTGAAGCTCCTCAGTGATGATTCGTTGTTTGTCTCATTTTGCGGATCTTGTCGCTTTGCAGCCCCGTGCACCTGCGCGACAGGATTGCAACTTCTGCCTTCAAAAGATTGTCGTTAAATGCTGGAAGTAGATTGCCGGTATGTTGTCCATGGGGAGTGTCTTATGCAAGGCCGCATAGTTTTGCTCGCTTCAGCGGCGACATCGCTTTTGCACGTAGGGTTGGGCACAATCCTTAGCCGCTTTTGTGAGCCAGCAGAGATCATGTATTTATCTTGACGTTAACATTTGTTGAACACAACTGATGCCGCCGTCGCGATGCTGACGAATCGAGTTTACATTTTCTGCTCCAAGGACCCACACTGGTGCATTTTCGCTTTGCAACCTCTGCAGGACTCGGGTTGTTGGAAGGAGGGAGCGGAGGGAGGGAGGGAGGGAGGGCGCCTCTATGAACATCAGCTGTCAGGAGCGGAGTAGAGGATTCGTCGAAGCTTCAGTGCCTTGGCATGCACTTTATGTGAAACAGAAGCTGCTGCTCTCGTCTCGTACGATGCTGCTGCATGCTGCCCACGATGGTGGTTACAGTGCTTGTGTTGCTGTTTGAACAAGCGCCGGCGAACATTCAGCATCCTTGGGGTCTTCGGGGTAGAAGGTGACCTTGTTTTTAACCCCCTTCGCAAACAGCTCCAGGGAAGATGCATACGGCTACAATGCTATGGTGGTCCCTGTAACTGTTGTTCCTCAGTTGCGCAGACACCAACTTGCCCAAGGGACTCTTCATTTCCTTTAGTGTGTCTCCTTGCTGGTTTACTGATCGCGAGTGTCGTCGTGTCTTACCTTATGATGTTTTGTTTGCAGCGAGTGCTCGATTTCGGTGATTGCAGGTTGTCTTATCGGGTCACTCTTACGCTGCTATTTGGCCCCCGCCTTGCAAGGTGTCAACAACATAACAACATGCCCCCGGCCTGCACCAGACCCCAACAAGGCGTGGCTTCGGGAAAATGCTGCTGAACTTCTGCAAGTCAGGGAGGCGCCTTCTGCTGCAAAGCTAGATTCAAGGATCCCACGAACGGTGACGACGAGCGTGAATACTTAATTAATCATATTAAGTTGCAGAGTTAAGCCGTTTTAACTGGTCAGAGTCAGACTACGTCGGGTCACTGCAAAGACACAGGTGGGGTGTGTTCGTGGAGATTCTTTTGCTGACTTGGTTCTAGTCACTGCATGTACAAGACAGAAAGCCAGCGCTGCTCTGACTTTTCCGCATGCTCAGGATGACGAGGAAGCCTTGACCGAGATAGGGCGGACATTCCTCGGGCGTTATGGAAACAACTTTGTTCTACGAACTGGCAAGCATCGAATGAAGACTTTCCAGACGGTCATCAAGGACGGATTTTCGTATTGACGTCGTCCAGCGCCCCTTATTTATTATGCGGAACGGCTTGGGCGCCCTCCTCCCTTCTTTTTGTGGAATGGTTGGATGGGTGATTTTGGTTAAAGGGCAACCACATACAACACTGGGATTATGTAACCCTGCTTCGTGACTCGTTCAGCCCTGCAGGAGGCAAACAACTGGGATTATGTGTTTTTTCTCAGGCATGCAGTTTATCACTGTGGTCGTTGTGACCATATGGTTGAGGCTTTGAGGATGTAGACGTATGTGCACCCGCCCACTACCCACAACAACCCCACGTCCGTTGGCTGGAACTCTTAATGCCTTGGCAGAATATTGGCACAGTCTTTGTTCCCATAGAGCACCCCAGACTTGACCACTGCCGGAACCCATTGTCGTGTACGACCAGGATGTATGAGGGTACTGTAGCTGAAGCTGCTTTCGTACCGCTGCATGTTCAGAAAGAACCTCAAAACGAGGGGGCAGGTGGCTACATTTCGTTACATACAGGCCTGACAAGTCTTAAATGCTTGCTACAGTACGGGTAGTAAGACCGGTAGTAAGACCGTTCCGCTTACTCCCCACAAATTTCCGCATGGGTTGTTGTCGCAGAGATGTCCGAACGTCGCACGGCTGCTTGCACCCAGCGTTCGAAGGTCAAACTTGACTTCTAGGATAGTAACATTCCCATGTCTCGAAACCTTTCTCATTCAGATGCTGACGCGATGAGGAGGCGCCAACATATGTTGACTGGGCCGAGAGCCGCATCCGGAATGCCTCTGCGAGTCAATGCGGCCCTTCTTGTCCAGTTGGTACCAAGTTCCCATTTTGTGATCAAGGGTTTTCGGATTAGGACGGGATATTTGCCTGGCTTCTGTGACAGATTTGGTTTAAGGACGTGACCTGCATCTCCATTTCCCTCAGGACGACAAACCCATACACCCTTCAGCTCCTACGATCACCTGAGCCAGCCTTACCCAGAAGATGCCGCAGGCAAACGAATTGGCACCAAGAACTTACAACTCCTGGCGGCTTTCGCCCGACTGCACTGACAGGCCACGGGCAGTTTCACTTGCAAATGTCTGGTATAGATCATATTCGTCCTGCATGACTTCCATGCTAAGGCTGAACTCAGTCGTGTTATTGTCGCGTTTCATTGACATGTACATAGCTGGGTTATTTGTACCTCATCTTTGGGAGTGGGCAAGGCGGCCTGGGGTAGAGCACTTTGAGGCACTACACGCAAAGAATGTGCTCACAAGTTGCATCCCGTTTCCGACTCGAAGGCAGTCAATTTTCCTTCCGTAGCCTATTCAGCAGATGTAGGCCGTTGCAATCTGATGCGATGCCCCTGTGAATTAACACACTTCCGAAATCGAGCAGTAGCTGCGGCCATCAAAGGAGTTTGCCCAAAACATAAAAAGAGGGCTTTAGACAAATGTAGCGGGAAATCTGTGAATATTGTTGCCCGTTTCTCCGGGAAAGCGGTTGCCATCGCCACTTTGCCCATGCTGTAGAAGAGTAGTTGCTGTTTGCGTCGGCGTCTGGTACTCCTTGGCAGTTTTGCTCAGACTTCTTGGGGATGGTCGGTTTGACTCCGATCATTGTCTGCTACACTGCGGCCTCTGTGCGTGGCTTCAGCTCTCCTGGGCCCTGAGCCAGGTTCAGCATCGCAGGGTGCAGCGCACTCAATGCCCCGAGTTTCGAGGATTGAGCTATTTAATGTTTTTCTTCCTTGTTGCGACTTCACAAGTTGAATCGCTTACGGATGGGTTCGGGGATCTGGTGACTTGACAATCCTGCTCTGCCAGTCTGAGCTGCAGCCAGTCGTGCTGGATCGTCACGTCACGACAAATATAGACAGCAGATGCCTCCGTGCGCAGGGACTGTCGGAGTGTGCTGGAAGCCTGAAGCAATGTGCATCTCTTTGCACGGGGGTGTAGCCTGTTCTCATGGGAATAGTAGCAGCAGCATGCAAGAGCAATGCGTGCTGTTTCCGGCCAAAGTGCTTCATCAAATCAAGCATGGTGGGGGACCAGCTGAGGGGAAAATAAGTTCTGACTAGCAAGGAGCAAGGGAAATTAGCTTTTCAAGCACCCTGGTTGAAGCTCTGTTTCCATCCCAGGCCCTTCTAAGACAATTCCGTTATGTCGGACAAATGCAAGCTGCGGTGTTGACATTGTGATGTACCAATGCGACCTGCAAGACGGATTGCCTCGCTGCCGTTTACAATCAAGCTCTTTGAAGCTATGTGTCCAAGCTCCTGACAAGCTGTAGTGCAATCCCACCCTAAGCTCAACATTATTGCCAATCATGTGCATGTTCACGACACTCAACTTTCGTCTGCACATTTAGACATCGCCCATAGAGAGTGGGCGCTTCTTTAGCCACTCTGTGGAGGCTCGGAGTGGGATCGGAGATCATTCGAAAGCGGGACAGATTTTGGCTGCTAGGGGGGTGGGGAATTGCGCTGAGAAGTGCTCGATCAGCATCGAGACATGCCGATTCCCATGACCCAGGGGATGTCAGCAGCTTTGGCCAAGCTCGCGAATGCGTCGTCCTCATCGTTGGGCGCTCAAGTTTGGAAGAACATCACGGATTCCCGAGCCTGGTCTGTTCTTCCATGCAACAGCACGCAGCTGCAAGAACTGGCAGGTGAGTTGACGGCTTGCGGTCGTTGTTCACGTCGGAAACACTTCGACTCCGAAGCCGCAGGAGCTGCAAGATCGCTTCCTCCCTGCCTTGCAGGTTGGGAAGAGCGCTTCATCTGAAGCTGCCCAAAGGGATCGCCACGGACAGTGCGCGACTTGACGTATTTGTTAGGGGGTGTTGTTCATGCCTGGAGCTTAGCGGTATATGGTTTCAGCAACCAGCAAATATGAGCATGATTTGGGCAAACCGACATGGCGCGCTCGCAGCGCTGGAAACCTTGCTCAGACTTGGATGACATGTTGTCCTGCCGTCCAGATCTAGGCTTGTCAATCGCCACGTGGCATCTGGAGCAGCCAGAGCAGCAGCGGCTGTGCCGGACGGGACACAAAGATCTGAATTGACATGTTGGTTTGGAGACTTGCAGAAACTATGGACTGCGTGTGCATCTCTGTGATTTGAAGGTCCATCCCCCACAAGAAGTGTTGTTAAACGCTGGGCTCCCTTCGTCCTCGCCCTGCGATACGGCAGGCGAGATCCAGATTCATTTCTGTTTACCCTTGCCTACGGACGGCCCCTGTCGAAAGTGGTGGCGGAAGATCCTAGATATTGCCGATGGATTCTGCACGTAGCTGAGGCTGAGACTGCAAGGGTTGGTTTTGGTTTGTCGGAGGCATGTGTGACTGCCCGATAAGCAGGAAAGGGGTGACAAAAGGTCAGCTGTTGCTGTAAAGCCGCACAGCTTTGGCAGTTATGTGCTTTTTCAGATGTCGGAAGAACTGAGTTTGTTGGCACCATCTCCTTCCATCAAGCCAAAACACGCAGCCTATCTTAAAAGGAGGAACGAATATGAGAGTCACCGAGTGGTCAAGGTTTGCTTGGCTTCGGTTTTGGCCAGTCTTCCCAGAAGCCGATCAGGAGGAAACTTCATCCCAGAAGCTGCAGCAAGCTGCTGGCTGGCTCTCCCTGAATGCTCCGCACCTGAAGGACGAATCAGCCAGTAATATTCCCATAGGACATGTATCAGCCCCAGTAATTGCAGCATAGTCGTGCTGGCAGTGGCAGCAGCCAAACAGCTGCTATATTTGCCTCGATCTTCAGCTCCTGCAGGGCAGCACCGATGATTTCTAGTTGATATCCGGAGCGTCAGGTGTTGGTGTAAGGCAGCCCCCACTGCTCCGAAACGATGGCTGCATGCAACTGTTGCAAATCCACAGTGGGTGATGGGTTTTCATCCGTCTGAGGGAGCCAAACAAAACTGCCGATGCTTGCCAGACCTCAATTCCCGCAGTCCCTTGCAACAACATCCGACATGTTATGTTGTTCAGCACACATGATGTTGTGCGATGTTCCCGGCTATAGTTTGCACCCACCCACACACACACACACGCATGCGGCACTCAAGTGTGCCCTAAGTTCTCGCTGTCCCTTTCCATGTTGGCAAGCATCACCGTTGAACATACACATGTTCCCAGTGTGCCTGAAGCCAGAAACCTTGCCATGCCAATGCCAGACTTTTCGGCAGGACACCTTTGACACACGTTGTCTGACAACAGCGGACGCCAGCAAGCAGCTTGTGGCAGGCTACCTTGTTTGCTGCCTGACTTCGGAAGGCTAAATTGCAGTGTTTGCTCCTGCTAAAAGATCGGGGTTAGGATCTGCTACTGCTACTACCCGCCTTAAACCATCAGCCTTTCACAATGGCCTGATCAAGACTGGGCATGAGTGGGGGTGGGCTCGCCAGCACTCAGCACAAGCTGGACTTTTCGTCCGGCCACCGTTGGTGCTTCTTTCAGGGATGTATACCGCGTACTTTTACAACCTGATCAGGTTTTATGGGCTGGCCGAAAAGTTTCCCATGGGACCCATTGAAAAGTGCAAGAAGCTGCCTACCGTACTACTCCGTGATTCGGATAGCTAATATCTGGATCTCAAACAATGAGACACTGAATACATGCCCCTTCACATTATGAACAATCCCTAATTTGGGTTTTGTTGTTCGACTGCCCGGGCAGGCCGGTCGCAATATCTTTCCAAACTGGCCCGCGAAGATCCCACGTACTGCCAGTGGATTCTCAGACAGGCGAAGGCTCCGCGGCGGCATAAAATTGTCAGGTTTGTTCTCCGTGCACGTTGCTGCTCCGCTTCAAGGCTACAGCCGGAAGATGCTGAGCAGTTACGCTGAAAAAACTGATTCAGTTATGGCGGCTAGGTCGATTTCTGCAAGTGCCACTAATCAGCTGAGACATTCAGACAACCCGGGGACCTCAAGTGCGGATTATGCTTGGGGAACTAGCCAAGGCTTAGACCCACGCGACAATCGCTTCACCCTGCTTCACCTCATTGTTGGGTTGCACTAAGCAGGGGCTTAACAATCAAGGTTCGACGATCGTCAACTGTCCAAGAAGCCGTGTTTCCGGATCAGGGTGGCGATGTCTCTCCGAAGATTCAAGCGATGGCCGATTGGCTCAAGGACAATGCGCCGCACGTTCAGGACACAAACTTACTTCCATGACCGTCCCCATCTGTCTTTGTTAGAACTTACCAGGACAGGTGATGTACAGCATTCTCTTTGAAATTCCTCGTTCCTGTGGAGCTCGTGTCCGCAGGAATGTGGGATTTTGGCATCAGGCCGGGCGGAATGTTTGCGCACTGCAAGATGTCGTTTCCTCGGAAGTCAGACTTGCGTGCAACCTGCACCCCAGCAGCATTCAGTTCGCTGGCCAGGCAGCAAGCACTACGGACGGCCAGTTTCTGAACTCGTTACTGAAGATCCGGTGTTCTGCCAATGGGCTCTTCAGAAGGTGGAGGAGTCCTGAACCGTTCGTGACGAAAACGTGCATACAAACGAGGCCTCATGAGTTTTCGGTGCATTTTCATCTGGTGCTCCTTCTAGACCCGACTTCGGCTCGTCATTTTTGGATGTATGGTTGCAGGTGACAGGAACGAGATTCATGCCCGCCTGTCTTGGTCTTGCATGAGACTATAGTCTTTGCTTCGTGAGTCAGAATGCCAATAACATGCAAGTTCCAATGTCCTTATGCATGTAATAAGCCGACGTTGTGCATGTTATGCCCTGCCGAATGCAGTGCCGAACAGACCGCACGGAGGAGGGAGATGCCTCGCTGGGAGTGCGGGAAATCGCCGAGTGGCTCAAGAAGAATGCGCCGCACCTGCAGGAGCGAGTTTAGGGTTTAGAGTTTAGGATTGTGTCGAAATTCAGGGTGCTGCCTTCAAGCTACACACATTAATTGTCCCAAAGTCAACTTCAGGGTTGGCTGGACATGGTGTTTTCCACGGACTCTTTGGGAATCTTGGGACCCACGCGACTGTTTTGCAAGTCTTGAGATTCCTGATGGCGAAGAAACTGCTGTTGAGTGATAGGCTCTCCGGTTCTTCCACTTGCCCCTGACAGGAGCGGGGTCCTTTTGCTTCAGGCTGGGAGTTGCAAGCTTGCCGTCCCCTTCCCTAACCCTCCAGGTACCTACTATATAGGGCCTTAGGGGCTCTAGTACCACCCTCCAAGCTCCTGCATGGGACCAGAGACGATGATTTGGAGGCAAAACCGTAGCGCGAGTCCCTGCCCCCGCCTTTTGAAGCAACTTCTGTATGATGTGGTTCATGGTTCCTGCTCATGTTCACATCGCCCTGGAACTTGAAAGCTGGTTGCAATGGAATCTTGGCAGGGGGGATCATGTCTGTGACTTTGCGTCAAGGCCGCAAGCATCGCGGACGACCCATGTCTGAAGTGGTGGCTGAAGATCCCGCATACTGCTTGTGGGTGCTACAGGAGGCTAAGGCCCGTTTAGGAGAGGTTTTTGCGGGATTCCCGAAATGCCCAAGACACTGCGGTAGATCCCTCTTAGCTTGCGAGTGGCGGTTGTACTTGACACGGCAAGTACTGCAAGTTCAGATGTCATCCCCCGCTGCACACGGGTGTTTCTGAAAGTTCCGATGCAACAGCTGATGGTCCGAAAGCTCGGTTTCAAAAGGCCTCCAGCTTGCCTCCTGGAGGCGGCGACGGCGTCACATGGATTGAGAGAAATGGCGAAATGGCTTACTGCGAACGCACCGCACCTCAAGGACAGCCTGCAGGCCGACTCTGGAATGTCACTAACCATGGCAGAGCAACAGCTAGACTGCTAGACCGTTCGCCCAGAGGTGTAGATTTACGTAGAGTGGCGCCCGGGTCCCTCTCCCGACAACCATCATGCGCACCAATGCGGTCACATGGACGATCACAGATGTTCGTTCGGCGTAAATTCAAACTTGCAAGCAGTACTTGAATTGCAAGTCGACAGTCGAGGGTGCTACGTTTGAACCTATAGCTGTTGTATACACGATCACATGCGTAATTTCACCCGACATGCGCACATGGTTGATTGCTGCACTGCTACATGAAGCACGAAGCTCATGATCCCTTTCGTTCAGAGTGCCTTGCCCGAACCTGCAGTCTCTTTCGAAACTGCCTCGGATTGCAGGTGCAGGACAAGGGCTGCTTTGTTTCAGGCTGGCCATCTCTGCCTTGTTGCAGGGTTGAAGAAAAGAGACTTGGTTGAGTCACAGAGCAGAGGCCCCTTCCCTGGAGCTTCGAGCTGGTGTGTAGCTAATGCCTCGCGGAAGCAGCGTGGCGAGCGGGAACCTTCAGTAGTCGGGCACGTTTCCAGGTAAGGTTCGGGTCGACTAACAGCCGTTCAGGGGGAGGGACAGCCCGGGCCTGTGTCGGGAGACGTGTCAGGTGGAAAGTATCATGGACGACCGATGTCTGACTTGGTGACGGAAGACGCGGCGTATTGCAAGTGGATTCTCCGAAGAGCCAAGGCTCGGGTCTGCAGGTGAAACACACTGGCATTGATAATTCGAACCTGGACTGGGGGCTATAATAATGATATCTTTTGTGCAAGTGTTACAAGTAGCCCCAAGGAAAAGTATTACTAGTTGTGCAGGCTTCTGGATTGGGTCGGCATCGGGCACGTCTGGGCTGTGCCGGATAGAGCCATTGCTAAAGCTCTCTCAACATACTGACAGCACCGTGCGAGGACCCCGCTTCTTCGCAGACATTGCGTGACAAAGCAATGTGGCTGAAAGAGCACGCTCCGCATCTCGAGGCTGTTGGGGAGCGTGCCACAATTTTGAGGCGTTGCTTAGGCCTTCGTATCATTAGACTCTGGTTGGGCGGTTGGCATAATGTAGGCCGAGGTAATGAGTTTCAGGCAGCACCGCAGGCACCGGGACTAACTCTACTTTGCCTTGGCCGTCTTGACTCTTCACTGTCCTACATGGCGTTCTTGCATGGCCATGCCGACCGATCTCTCTCTCTCTCTCCCTGTCTCGCCCCCTCCCTCCTGACAGCTTCGTTGCTGCCGTGATGGTGGTGCCAAATCCAGGCAGTGCTGCCAACAGGTCTTAGGTTCAAGGAGCCAAAGACCAGTGTAGTGTAGCTAAGGGAAAGGTCGCCAAGCTTCCCGTTCTTGTTGCAGCTTTAACACCAGCTTCAGTTTTGATCTGCTCCCAGCCCCATTCCTGTAGTGAGATTATATATATCTATATACATATATATATATGTATATACACATGTATGTACACACAAACATCTGTTTATGTTTAT